CCTGGGTCCCCCAAACTGCCCCCGGACCCCTTTAATTACCCCACCCGGGGCAGGCGGGGGAGGCGCTGAGCCTGGGGCCGCTCGTGACGCTGGTGCTGGCAGAGGATGGGACAGCGGTGGAGACGGAGGGGTTTTTTGGGGCGCTGGCACCCCATACCCCCCTCATGGCCCTGGCGCCAGGGCAGCACTGGGAGCCTCCCAAGGTGAGACCCCAAATACCCCCGGCGGCCCCCCCAATATTTTTTCGCAGTCCTTTGTATCTCCTATAACTCATTTCGGACTCTCTGATACACCCCCAGTTGCCCACCGGGACCCCCCCAAAACTTCTCTGCTCCTTCTTAGGGCCACCTAATTCCTCCACGACTCCCTACAGATCCCTTAGGAGCCCCAAATCCCCCCAAGGAACCTTAAAGACCCCCCCAAGATTCCCCATTGCCCTCCAACAACACCCCTGGGCCCCCCAAAATTTCCCACTACCCCCTAAAAACAGCCCCCCGGGCACCTCTAATTACCCCCAACCCCTTTTCCACCCCCCCCCATCCCAGTCCAGGGAGCACTGGGAGCCCGACCCCCCCCAGGAACGGGGCCTCCGCCCTGGGGCCGAGGTGGCCCGCGTGACGGTGGCCCTGACCAAGACGAATCCCCACGACCTGGTGGGGCAGCTGCGGGTGACGGCGGCCGTCAGGGGCCTCCGCTGCGACGTGGGGGGGCTCGGCCCCGAGCGGCTCCTCAGGTACGTGGGGTTTGGGGGGGGTCGGTCCTGACCCGTGGGGAGCCCCCCCGGGGGTGACTTTTCTACCCACGGGGGTGCAAATGGGGCAGAAGATCTTGCCCCCCCTCTCCGGGGTCTTCTCCTGCCCCATAGACGCCCCGCGGGGGGGCAGAAATTGGGAAAACCCCCGTGGGGGCAACTCTGAGCCCCATTTCTGCACCACCACCCCCCCTCAGGGAGCTGCTGCGGCTGCTGGCGGCCATGACACGTGCCGTGGGGCAGAGCCTCCTGGGCCTCTCGGCCGCTCTCCGCCATCTCCTCGACGGCGCTTCGCCCCACAGAGTGACCTACAACCGCTAAACCCCGCCTCCTGCCCCATAACCCCGCCCCTTTCCCTTCTAACCCCACCCCTTTCCCTTCTAACCCCGCCAATAAAATGTTGACAAAGCATTGCAACCCACTCAGAGAACCCACTGCTGGGACAAAATGGCGTCGGTGGGGGAACAAAGGGCGCTGTAGGAAGCGGGAGGGACTAAGGGATCGGGCCCCACCTTTTTCTTGTGGAAAAAAAAAAGAAAATGATGAAAAAACATCAATTTATATAGAAAAACGCGTGTTGGCAGAGCAGGAGCAGACAAGACTTAGGCAACAAGTACCAGAGCGTCACTGTGACCCCTCCCCTTAGAAAACTCTATGGTGGTCACAACAAGAAGGGCTCCAGACCTGGTCTCTCTGGCACCGAGTCCTCCAGCAGCTCCATGGTGCAAGCGCAGGGCCTTTCTGGCCAGCAGTCCTCCAGTCCTCTATGGCTGGGTGGTCCAGAGCAGACAAGACGAGGCATACAAACCCCCAGAGCGGCGCTTGCCATCTCTGTGGTCCTGCACGACGTCGGGAGACGCTCTCTTTCTGCTCTTCCCTTCTCTATGTCCCACGGTCCTCCAGAAAGGCGCCTCTCTATCCCACAGGCAGCCTCTCTACACCCCCGGCGGGGGTCATCAGTCCTCCAAAAGGGGTCCCAGGAGGTTGCGGCGGCCGGGGGCCGCCCGTAGCCGCTCCCACAGTCGTCGTCGTCGTCGGAAAAGGTCGAGGGCGAGGGTCCGCGCCACCCCCCGGCCGTGGGGGTCGCGCTGGAGGACCTCGTGCTGGGACGCTGCCGGAGGGAGGGGGGACAACGGGGCGTCAGGGCAGAGCTCGGAACCCCCCCCCGAGTGGGGGTCTCCTCCAGCGCCGTCGTCCGCCCGTCTGTCCGTCCCTCCTCCCTCCAAGCTCCGTGGCACTCACCCAGCTCGTCGGCGATGGCGGCGCGGGCGGGGCCGGAGGCGGAGACCCAGACGGCGTCGAGGACGCGGCTGCCGTTGCGGTGACACGCCAGCGAGAGAAAGTGACCCTGCGGGAGAGAAAGCAAAAAACGATGTCAGCCATAAA